CCCACACTAGGGAGAGCCCTTCATCCTCCAGGACACCCCTGAGCTCAGGGTGAGCCCAGTGCTGCTACCAAGTCCTGCTGCCAGCAGAAATTCTAAGCTGCTGTTTTTGGCTGCCCATTGATTGCTGGCACTGCCAGAGCTGTCTTTGGGGGTCCATGTCCACTGGTTCTGCTGGCTGGGGGGTTTGCAGAAGTTACAGCCACCACCAAGCTTCTCCAAGCAGCCAGGAGGCTTTGGGTGAGGATGATGCAGCCTCCCTGCACTGCCAGCTGCCTGCCCAGGGGGTTTGTGTGACCCTGTTCACAGGGGTCTGAGGATGAGGGAAGAGATGAGAGTGTTGACTCCATGTTTCAGAAGGCTGATTTATTATTTTATGATATACATTACATTAAAACTATACTAAAAGAATAGAAGAAAGGATTTCATCAGAAGGCTGGCTAAGAATAGATAAAGAAGGAATGATAACAAAAGCTTGTGTCTGGGACAGAGAGTCTGAGCCAGCTGGGTGTGATTGGCCATTAATTAGAAACAACCCCATGAGCCCAATCCCAGCTGCACCTGTTGCATTCCACAGCAGCAGATAACCATTGGTTACATTTTGTTCCTGAGGCCTCTCAGCTTCCCAGGAGGAAAACCCTAAGGAAAGGATTTTCCATAAAAGATGTCTGTGACAGGTTTGCCCTGGGACAGGTCACCCCCAGCCTCTGCCCCTGCTCTGGCTGCCAGGCCCTCCAAGGGCTCTGCAGAGCAAGGGGCAGATTTTGCTGTTCTGCTCCTCACAGCTGGCTCAGCCTCCCAGGCTCTGCCTCACTTCTGTCATTTCCAACCCTTGATGGACTCTGTGATTCTCCTGCAGTGACCTGAGCTGAGGGATCACAGCACCTCTGCTGAGCCATGGCTGCTGTGAGCTGCTCTGGAGCTGCACACTCAGCTGTGGAGCACAAACACCCTCTCCATGCCCTGCCAACAAAGCCAAGGCCATGCTAAAGCAGCCCTGCTCTCTGCAGATCACTCCCTGCAGCAAACCCAGCTGGCAGATTCCTGCCTTTCAGGAATGGGAATGGACACGGGGGCACAGGCACCCCCTGGCATCCCTGGGGCTCTGTGCTGCAGCCAGGGAAGCTGAGATGGACCCCCTGAGCCAGGGCACACCTGCAGGGTGCCCCTGCTCCCCCAGGAAAGCTGCAGCCTTCTCTTGCTTCTGCCTGGGCCCTGCAAGCCCTGCACAGCAGAGCTGTGAAAGCTGCATCAAAAGCAGAAGGACTTCTCAGAAATTAGATCATTAAAACTAAAGCTCAATGTGACTGGAAACCTAGGTAGCCCTCATTTTCTAGTGGTTGTTTTCAGAATTCAGATTTATTGTTGGCAGTGTGCTGTAATCATCCCAGCTCCTGTGCTGCTCATTTTAAACTGCTCAGAGCAAACCCTTCCCTCTGGCCATTCCCTGCCAGCCTCAAACAAGGCATGGGAGGAAAAGCAGAGCTGCTCTTAGAGGTGAAAATTCTCTTCAAATTTAAGGAATCTGTGACCTTGAAGCAACACAGTGGGAGTGGGAGCCTGGACTGATCTCCCAGAGTTTAAGCCTCCCTGCAAATCTCCCGTGGTGACAATCAGGTCAGAAATCAGAGCATGAAAATACAAATGTCAAGCGAAAGGATGCAATTGTTCATGCCTGGCTGAAACCAAGCACCCTGATGTCCCAGCACAGTTTTACTGCTGTGAGAGGTGCAGACAATCTCACTTACAGGCAGACACCCATGGCAGGAGCTGGAGGCACCACTAAAGGCTTACACAGTGCTGCCTATAATTCAGCATCCTCTGAAAGCACAAATGTCTGTTGTTCAATTCCTGAAGTATTAAGCTGGCATGTGAAGCTTATTTTTGTTCATTTTTTTCTCTCTCTCTCACACACAGAGCAGGGATTTTGCTGCTCCTGCACCTTGCTGCCCTGGGGATGCTGGGCAGCAGCTGGGAGCAGCTGGGTTGGGAGCAGGGATGGCACAGGGCATGGCACAGGGAGGCTCTGCCCTGCCCCTGCCCTCCCTCCTGCCTCCCCAAGGAGCCCAGGTGCATCCACAGGACCATCCAGTTCTGGCTTTCCCTCTTTGAGGAAAACCCCCCTTCCTGAAAGGATCATTTTGATCCAGACTGAACAATTTTCATATTGTTTTCCCTTGTTTGGGGGTTTCTGCAGGACCAGGGAGCACAGGAAAGACAGCTCCTGACCTTTAGAGTTGCACAGCCCCTGCCACCACCCTGTCCCTTTTCCAGGGCACTCTGGTCCCTTCACTGCAGAGATCCCATTGCTCCCTGCAGCCACCAGGGCTCTGCTGAGCTCTGCTGCTGCATCTCCCCCTGCCCCTGTCCACAGCTGCCCCCTCTCCTGAGCCCAAATACAACATTTCATGTGATGGCTGCATCAGTGGCAAAAGTATTTAGTGTAAAACCTTCCCCCTGCAGTGCTGCTCAGCTCCAGCAGAAATAAATGTTCTGTTGGCCCTGGAGAGGACAGTGCCAGCTCTGGGGGTCACTGACACCCCAGACAGCACAACCCTCACAGCAAAGCAGGTTTGCTTGCTGCTTCTTGCCCTTGGAGGAACTCTGAAGAGGAAGAGCCTCTTGCAGGCAGGACCTGCTCCAGCCCCAGCTGCTGTGAACACCTTGGAACAAGCAGCACCTCTAAAACAGGAATTTTTAGCCTTAAAAGACAGAAAAACACTGAAGTCCTGTGAAACCCAGTCCTTGCCTGTGCGCAGGGTCCATGGTGGTGCAGGAGAAGCAGCTGCTCCCAGCACAGGGGGGACTGAGCTGGCTTTTGTGGGGAGTGAAGGATTTGTAACAGGACAATGGGCTGGGGGTTAATTGAGGATTAATTTAAACATCTCCACTGATTTAATTTGCTTCTGCCCAAAGTCCCTGAGCAATAATAAGCTCAAATTAAAGTTTACATCTGCAAATGTGGCTCACAGAGTGATCTTTATCTAATGCCCTCTTTGCTCACTGCACGAGGTGAGCCCCAGCCAGCTCTGGGAACGCCGATGGAGCTGGAGCCAGCCTGGGGTGGCTCCCAGGGTGCAGGGATCAGTGTGGAGGTGTCTGGGGGTGAAGGATCCAAACTTTGTGCTGGGACAGCCCTTGCCCGTGCCCAGACTGCTCCCCAAGGGCTGCCCTGCTCTCCAGTCTCTCCCAGCCTCTCCATGCCATGAGCAGCCAGTGCTGCTCCATCACTCCTGGCTAAAGGCAGATTTCTTCACACAGGAGGAAAAACCCCTGCACTGGCACTTCCAGCTGCCTGACAGTGCTGCCCTGATGGTGTTTGGTACCAAATGTTCCACTGGGGTAGCAACTTTTAGAGCTGCTATTCCTTATCTTGGCAAAAAAAGCTCATGGCCTGTTGGAAGCCTGGCTGCTGGGAATTTCAGACTTTCTGTGCTGCCAGGCACTGAGCCCCAGGAGAACACTGCATTTGACCCAAGGTTGAGGAAAAGGCTTCCAAAAGGGAATGGCAGAACTGGGATTGTGGGTGTGGAGTTTGAATAGAAGTGTGTGATATCACAGGGTGGGAAAATTAGAGCTTAATGGTTTAGAATATAGTAATATATATAAGGCAAGATGGAGGTTTTAGGGCCAAGGCTGCTTCTTCTTCACCTTCTTCTCCATGGGTTTGGGTGGTTTTGTGTAATTGGATAAAAAAGTCCACAATGTGGGTCAAGGGTGGTTGGTTATTGGGTTAAAAGTAAAAATAATTTAGGTGTCATTTCTTAATTAGACAGTTTATCCTTAAAAGGCCTTGTAGAGAGAGAGAGATAGGACTCCATTTTAGTTTATTACAGTGAGGTGCTGTAGAACTCAGGGTTTGTGAGACTGTCCCATAGATAAGCACTAATAAACATCTGAGTCCCAACAAGAAATACCATCTCACACATCTCCCAGCCCTGGAGAAAGAAGTTAGGACTCGATGATGGTCATTTATGGAGTGGCTTTGCTTTGTGTCCAGGGTTATCTACCTCATGCCATAGGTCTGTCTTGCAGTTCAGATTTGTTAAGTTCCATCCTCCTGCTTTGCCTGATCCCACCAGCAGCTTGGTCATATGTGACTCTTTTCCTAGCAGCCTTTTTTGCAGGGGTCACTTTCCTGCTCTCAGAAGAGAAGCATTGATCTTCAGAAATCCCTGCTCCCACCCTCTGCACTGACCATGCAGCTGCTGGACCTGCTGATAATGCTCACCTCTCTCCACAGCATTCCTGCAGATTTAAATCCTAGGACCAATCTCATCAAGGTAGGTAAATCTTTCCTAGTTTTAATTAGGGGTAATTTGAAGTATCTAGAGTTCTCTGGCAAACATCTGTGATGCTGACATAGGGGCCTCTGATGCCTTAGGATTTCAGCTTTTGTGTTTTTCAGATCCTGTAGTGCATCAGTGCATCACTCCAAACTCCACACAGAGTGTGAGTTCCTGTCCTCACAGTTTGGTCAGATAAAACAATCCCTCTGGGCCTGAGATCCATGGACACCCCACAGCCTCAGGCAACAAAAAGGACAAACAAAAGTGAATTGGGGGAGCAAACTGGGGGTAAATGACTTCATTAGCTGAAGTTGTAATTGGAGAATTAACCCCTGATATGTAAATGGACCAAACTTATAATTGTCTGAAAAACTGGTGCCCATTGTCCAGCTTGGATGTAGCCTCTGGGAGGCTGTGGCTGCCCAAGGTGTGGCTGTTGAAGGCCTTCAATAAATCCCCACTTTATTCTCTAAATCTTGTCCAGCCTCTGCTCTGGGCAGCCCCTCCAAGGCATCCCTCCAGCTGTGCACACCTGAGTAAGGCTTTCAAAGCCCTGCTAGGCTGGAGCCTGAACCCAGGACAGCCACAGGAGAGGCATTGCCAGGGCTGGCAGCACATCTGGCAGCAGAGGAGCTCCAGAGGTGGAAAATGGGCATCATGGGCTTCTGCCTGGTTTGGGGTGACACTCAAAAGGCAGCTGAGGAATCAGCTTACCTGTCTGACAGCACAGAGCAGCTTCCCATAGGAATAGACAATGATGGCAAACGGGATCACGAGGCAAAAGATGAAAAGACAGATGATGTAGGAGGCGTTGTTGGCATCCCTGGAATGCCAGTTCACAGAACAGGTTATCCCTGCTCCTTCTGGCCCATAGCTGCTCCAGCCAAGCAGTGGGGGGACAGTCCAGAGCAGGGAGTATGTCCAGGACAGGATGATGGCTGCCCAAGCTTTCCTGTAGTTGGTGGTGTCAGGCTCTGCCGTTCTCGTCATGGTGCAGCAACGCTCGTACGAGAGCACGGCCAGGGAGATGAGGGACATGATGCCTGTGTCAGACCAGAGCCTTGTATCAGCAAAAAATCCATGAGTGAAGGCTTTGCTCTGCCTCCCAAAAAAATATTTCAAGCTTTGGATGAGACTGATGGCACTGGCTTTGGAAACAAGGCGGGCAAGGACTGGGACTGAGGTGTCCCCTAAGGGTGAGAGGTGCTGAGAGCCTGACCCCACTCACCAGGAGCTGGGGGTGTTCAAACACATCCAGCCAAAGCAGTCAGTTATAAATGCTAATTAATCATTAACCACACCTGTCTGAATGGATACATGTATGTGTGGGTGTGTGAGCTGCAGCAAAATCCTGCCTTCTCCATCAGATCTGGTTCTTGCTGCACCTGTAAAATTCGAGATTCATATCTAGATTTGCCCAAAGTGTGGAGCTGATCTGGTGCTCCTCTGCCAGCTCTGAAGTGCAGCCTTCTGAGCCCTCCTTGGGGAAGTGCAGCCCCACAAGGATTTCATGCTGTGCATAATGAAGAGCTGTAGATTAAAGCCATGTCCTGAAGCCCCCTGTGCCAGCAAGAGCTCCTGAGCCTTTGCAGAGACAGTGATGGGTCTCCTGCAATTGGGGTACTGCCAGCAGACACCAAGGGGGCAATAAAACCACCAGCAGCCAATCAAAGGCTTCTTTAGCACGCAGAAATGCTGGAGGGGAGGTAATTTCTAAAGCTGAGATAAGAGCTTGCAATTTCCCTCCACACACACGTCCCGGGCTGCACTCTGGAAGCCACACTGGCAGGTACAAGGGGATGTTGCTGGATGCTGACACACTCCTGCTGAACTTTCCTTGCCAAATAAAGGTTTTACATGCACAAATTTGGCTTTTTACCCTGTGTAACTTCACGAGGGAAAGAGATGGCAGCAAACAGCTGCTGCAAGTATCTCTTTAGAGTGTGCATAAGCAGCGTCAGCGTCTCCTCAGTGGCGGTGGGAAGCCTAAGCTGCATTCCTGGGGTGGTTCAGGTCTGTTCTGACAGCAGAGGGATGCTCTGCTGGTAAAGCCTCTGCTCCATGGGAATGCTGGCTGGGGGAGAGCCCCACTGATGTGTGCCAGTGTCGGCGGAGCTTAAAGGTCTTTTATAACCTAAACGAGGCTAAATCAAAGGCACAGGGGTCTTGGGCTCTGTGCCAAGATCTCTGAGCCCCCTGGTAGGACCTTGAGTCCTCCAGGGCAGCCAGAGGAATTTCCTGGGTTCCCACAGCCCTCCTCTGGACATGCCCTTCAATGTCTTGCATGGAGTGAGGGGCCCAGAAGTGGGCACAGGATTTGAGGTGCATCCATCCAGGTAGTTTTTAATGCAGTGAAGAATGTGCCTGTCCAAGCTGTGGGCTGCCAGTTTTCTCAGGAGAATGCTGTGGGATGTTTCAGATCCTGAAAATCAGTCAAGAAGTTGTTTTGATAATGCAAAATTGGTTTGGTCACCTGAAAATTGTATCCCTTACTATTTATTTTGGCAAAAGGATTTGCCAACTCATTTGGGGGAAAGGTGCTGTGGTGCAGCACATCTGTCTCCTTGATCATCTGGGAACTTGGCTGGAATTGCACAGCTGCTGGTAAAACTGGTTTCTCTTCTGAAAAAAAAAAAAAAATAGGAATTACCTAAACCCAAATGTGGAATCCGAAGCGATTTAGTGACGTTTCCCTCGAATTCAGCAACGGCCACAAGATGGCACAGGGCAGCTCCGAGTGGGATGGGGCTTGGATCCCTGGGGAAAAGGGTTTCCCAAGGGCCTGGAGCCGTGGCTTGGCTGGGCGCTGGGAATGAGCCGCGGGCACGCGATGGCCTCAAGCAAGCAGCGTGTGCGACAGCCGGACCGACGGTCACCCGCACCCGGGTGGCCTTGGCTCTGCCGGGGCTGCTCGGGGCTCCGGCAGGAGCCGATCCCCACATAAAGAAACGCCTGTCCAAGGGCTCTGCTTTGGCCCAGCTCCCGCCGGGATGGGTGAATTCCCTGCCGGGATGGGTGAATTCCCTGCTTAGATGGGTGAATTCCCTGCTGCGATGGGTGAATTCCCTGCTTAGATGGGTGAATTCCCCGCCGGGATGGGTGAATTCCCTGCTTAGATGGGTGAATTCCCCGCCGGGATGGGTGAATTCCCTGCTTAGATGGGTGAATTCCCTTCCAGGCTGGGTGAATTCCCTGCTGCGATGGGTGAATTCCCCGCCGGGATGGGTGAGATCCCTGCCGGGATGGGTGAATTCCCTTCCAGGCTGGGTGAATTCCCTGCCGGGATGGGTGAATTCCCTTCCAGGCTGGGTGAATTCCCTTCCAGGCTGGGTGAATTCCCTGCCGGGATGGGTGAATTCCCCGGCGGGATGGGTGAATTCCCTGCTTAGATGGGTGAATTCCCTCCCAGGCTGGGTGAATTCCCTGCTTGTCTGGGTGAATTCCTTGCTTAGATGGGTGAATTCCCTGCTTGTCTGGGTGAATTCCCTGCCGGGATGGGTGAATTCCCTGCTTGTCTGGGTGAATTCCCTTCCAGGCTGGGTGAATTCCCTGCTTAGATGGGTGAATTCCCTTCCAGGCTGGGTGAATTCCCTTCCAGGCTGGGAGCTGCCCGTGCTGGCCGGGGCTGTCCTGGGGTGACAGGGGCCGCACAGGCAGGCAGGCACCAGGGCAGGGCTGGCAGCAGCACGGGCGATGCCCGGGCTCTGTTGCGTTGTGATTTCAGGGTTTACCTCAGAGCCCTGGGTCCCTCCCCTGAAGATTCCCTCCCAGGTGTGTCAATCATCCCTCCTTTCCCCTCCCTGACCCCTGCCCAGCACTGTCTGTCAGTCCTGGCATTCCAGAAGGGCATTGAGTGATTGGCAGATTCACTGCCCTGGGGGGCATTGGGCCATCCAGGTGTCCTTTGTCCCTTTGTCCCTCCCCTCCTGTCCCTGCTTGTTGTCTCCCTACCCCTTCCCTGCCCCTCTCCCCGGGGTTAAAGGAGCAGCAGCCACGGGCTCAGGGAGTTCTGTTGGAGCTGGTGCTGCATTCAGAGGCCTGAGGGCCAGAATAAAGCTCTGGATCCAAACCCTCCATCAGAACCGACTCCTTTCCTTCACCATCCCCTTAAAGCTTCTTTCGCAGAGGTAAAACCTGAGGAGCAGCCTGTCCATGGAGGAAGCTCCATCCCACAGCCTGGACTTGCCTCCAAGCACCCAACTGCAGCACCCAGCCAGGCAAAAGTGTCTGTGGGGTGAAACACCACACACCCAGGCAGCCAAAAGTGTCTGTGGGGTGAAACACCACACACCCAGGCAGGCAAAAGGGTCTGTGGGGTGAAACACCACACACCCAGCCGGCCCAAAGTGTCTGAGGGGTGAAACACCACACACCCAGCCAGCCAAAAGTGTCTGTGGGGTGAAACACCACACACCCAGCCAGCCCAAAGTGTCTGTGGGGTGAAACACCACCACAGTTGCCCCAATTTGGTTCAGCAGCAGGGCCAGACAAGCCCAGGCACGTCCCATCACAATATTGGTGATGCCAACAGGGCAGGATGCTGGCCCCACAGGAGGTGGCATTGCTGGTGGTGGGAGCGCTAACGCGGTGTCTGCAGCTTTGCTGCTGTGAAAAATGCATGTATTTTATGATTGGCTTTTCACAAATTATAAAATGAATATTATATGTGTTGTGTTAGAAAGTAATGCTGTATTAATTTTCTTAAGTGGTGTGTTAAATAGAGTTTTAGGTTATAACAAAATGTTAAAATAGAAACTATGCTATGTAGGATACTTTTTTAAAGGAAGGACTCGCAGTGAGATAGCAGCCACAGGACACCTGAATCTTTCAGAGAAAGAAAATTTATTGCTCTCTTATCAGAAGAAAGGAACTTCTTCCTGCCTCGAAGGCACTGTCAGGATTCAGAGGAAGAAGCTGACACTGCCCAGACAGAATCCTGTGTTTGAATGGAATTTATGCATCATGTATGAGGTGTATGAATATGCAACAGGCTGTTGTTTTTAAGGGTTAATCCTCTGTTAACCTGGGTCCTTTTTGGGGCTCATGCTGCCCAGAAAAGGTACCCGGACCTCTGTAACTCTTTGTTTTTATTGTCTCATATTGTCCTAATCCAAATTGTCCAAATTATTTTTATTCTAATTGTATTACTCTTTTAATAACCATTTTATTACTATTAAACTTTTAAAATTTTAAAAACAAGTGATTGGCATTTTTCACTCTGCTGTGCCTCCCTGCTGGCCATCGAGTGTCAGCGTCCAGCCAGCATCCAAACCCATTTCCCATACCAATATTTCCATAATGCCTGGAAAGGGGCAGGAAGGAGACAGGGATGATTCCCTCTGGCTTGCAGCGCTCTGTGGGTTGTGCTGTCCTGTAAATCCCTTGTTCCCATGTGGAAATCACACCAGCCACAGCCTCCAATGGCACTGAAGTCAACACCGTTGTAACAAATTATCTTTTCTCTCTTACTAATGATAAGAGAAGTAATAATCCTCCTACAGGACTAATTACAGCCACAGAAATCGTGGTAATGAAAAGAAGTCCCTTTGCCAGCATTTGAAAAGTTACAATTTACATGAACTAAGAGGCTTATGTAAATAATTATTATTATTTTGTATATGGCTCTCTGTGGCCCCATCTATTCTGATCTCAGTAAATCAGGGTGTAATTAGTCACAGAGGATTAAATGTTGCAGGACAAAGACTGGAAAATTCAGTAAAAGCAAAACTCTGGTTGGTTTTGACTCAAAATAGGCTTGGGTTACCTGTCCCAAAGGATGTGTGACAGCTCTGCTTCCCACTGCCAGCTCCTCTTGCTGCTCTCAGAAATCAGTGTAATTCTTGTTTCAAATTTTGGGGTTGTTTTTTTTTTTATTTCTTAAAGATTCTTAAAAAAAAAAAAAAAATAGAGATCTTTATAAACCATCACATCCTTGTAGGGCTGTAAGCCCCAGAGGGTTTCAGAGATGAGCTGGCCCTGAGGTGCAGGCTTGGGTCTCCCAGCCTGGATCATGCTGCTGACACAGGGATTCAGATCTC